AGAAACTCAGAGCTCATGGGTAGATCAGGTTTTTCAAATTTGGGAAGAGTGAAAATACATTTTTGAGAAAAATGGGTTGATTTATTAGTGATAAATTTATGTGAATGTGGCAGGAAAATACCCACATAAACACCAGGGAAAGTTAATTGTTGCACCCTCATAAAAATAATTTCTGTATATTTCCTTATTAACTTTTTTAAATAGTCAATTAAGTTGGAAAATTTTGTTTTATTTTTCCACTGTTACACCATAAACACCAAAATTTCCTTTTGTTTTAATGGTATCTTCTGTGTCTGTGAGCTTAGAGAACTTTGGTTCAGTGACAGAAGACTCAATTATATATATATATATATATATATAATTCTGTTGGAAAAAATAATTTGAAAAAATGAAACTTTTATATTTATATAAAACAGTGAAGATAATCTCCACAGAAATGGTGAATATCTTAAGTATTTTAATCATTTTAATACTTTTGGAGGGATGGTATATAAAATTGAAGACATCTTTAATTATCTGAGATTTTTATCACTGGAACTTCTTAAAAAATAGCCTGTTTTGTTAATAAACTGGTTTGAAAGGCTGCTAGCAAGTCAAGCAGTAGCCATTAAATGAACCTCTACTGCCAACATTAATTTACAGGGATCTACAGGACAAAACTCTGCAACATGATAGCTGGTCTGGGAAATGATGAGCTGGTCCACATCCCTTCAGGAATCACTAATCAGTCTAGGTCAGCATCCACTAGAATGACTGATCATGACGGTGCAAGAGCAGAGGAAGGTACAGAATTTAGCTACCATGTTAATTTACTTTGCAGAAGGTGTTAATTCCAAATCACATGTCCTTAATATCATACATTTGCTGCTGCTTTAAAATGCTGAAGATGAGCATTTTAAATGCTTATATGATCTTCAGAGAAGATGTTGAGCAAGCTCTTGGTGTAATTGTCTTAGGGGTTTTGAAACTTTTGGCTTCTGTGTCTATATTTTTCTTTTTAATGTTAGGTGGAGTTTTTAGGTCACTTCTGAGTACCTTTCTTAAATCTAACTTGAGCTTACAGATCTAGTAGCAGGAAAGTACTAGTTTTTAGTAAGACTCTAAATAGTACATATGGAAAAAAATTCTTTAGTTATTTGTCATATTTCTTAAACTTAGCAACTAATAGTAACTACCACTTATTAGGAGACCACAAAGTGCCCAGACATTGTGCTTGGAACTTTATGTATAAATGGAACAGTTGACTAATTTAATCATTTTGGAATAAGGCAGCACCTTCATTCTTTAACTTGGTACCAAATACGTACTACTTGCTAATGAATTTTCTAAAATTGCCTAACTAGAAATGTGTAGGTAATGTCAGTACCAGTTAAGGGATTTTTTCCAAAGTTAATTGTAGCTGTAGATACATAGGTATACTTGAGTGATTTATAATTGTAGGTCAGATAGCTATAATTCTAAGTAATGAGACCAAATTACCAAAAGTTTATTATGATTTATGAGATACATATAATTCATTATCTAATAATTTGGCCATTAAGTTGGAAAATTTTGTTTTATTTTTACAGTGTTAAAGCATAAACACCAAAATTTCCTTTTGTTTTAGTGGTATCTTCTGTGTCTGTGAGCTTTGAGAACTTTGGTTCAGTGACAGAAGACTCAATTTTATATATATATATATA